CCTCACCTCACCTCACCTCACCTCACCTCACCTCACCTCACCTCACTCACTCACTCACACCAGCTTACACACACCAATCTCGCTCACACCAACTGACACACACCAACTCTCTTCCATTGCGTTTTGCTGCTCTCTAGGGGGCGGGGTCTGCTGTTCCTGGGGTCCCTGCGCTTTGCTGCTCCGCACCACTCACTCACATACTTACTTCAGCATGCGTTGTTAAATCGAGCATGGCGGAATGCTCACGGGGGAATAATCTCCGCAGATGACACGATAGGGTCTTCCGACATATCAAATCTTAACCCTCCCACGCCACTTGTGAGTGCGGGAGGGTTTCATCTCTCCCCAAGAACTGTTGCCGTGATCTCCACTCGCTCGTCTTTTCTTGGTTACCGCTTTCTGAAAGCTTGTCATGTGGGATTATCCGGTTCTTTAAGTTGAGGGTAATGGTGTGAGCTCTTCATCTGCCTTCTACTGGGTCATCTTAAGGATCGCAGTTTATACACAGAAAAGGCGATTGTCTCTATTCAAGAGTCCAAACTCTAAGTAGAGTCAACTTGACAAGGCCCACAGAGTCGAGGAAACTTCGCCACCAACAAAACGTGGAACAAATTGCAGTCCCTTGACTCAGCATTCTCGAGACATTGTGCGTCTCCTTTTCGCCTTAGAGACACAAAGCACAACGAGCAAGGGGGGACACCTGCGGATCCCGGCCCGGTCAGCTTGCCAAGTTGTCACTTGAAACCTATCAAGAAAGTGTCTAATACAGTAGCAGCTTGGTATCCCATACTGTGTATGTTCTTGGGATCCACTGAAGCCAGGGTATTGACTGAACAGATTGGTAGATCCCGCACAAAGAGAAGTCAGCAATGTAATGAATTGGAGTTTGGGCCGCTCATCTCAATCAATGTGACACCCATAAAATGTGCTCATGTCCGGGTCCATCCACTACAAGGACCGCATGAGGACCTGGCCCCCGAAATCTCAAAAGACCAAAAATAGCAACCGGCCCAGACATTAACAACGTCTTGGTTGAGGTTGGTTTGAGCACCCTGTGGCCTTCCATGTGTGTCCCGATCCCATCAACCACACCGAGTTGCTGCTCCGGTGTACTGAAGTTCAGGACACCTGCACGAAAGACACTGATTTTAGTATCCACAATAAATCCGACTACATCACCAAAACAGCTGACTGTCTGTCACGGCTTGAAAGTCGCAATCCAATTGGGGGCACCAGCTCCAAAAATTCCAAGTACAGTATTATTTCGATCTTCGAACCCAGCGCTTTTAGCACTAGTATCTGGCACAACCAAGGTCAGAAGACGATCAAGGTCTTGTATTTTTACTACTGTACCGTACCGTACCCCAAACACTCGGGCTGTCCATCGGTTTGGTTCTAGTCACAGCCAATGTTTGGATGTACAACCTCTTCCGATGGGTGCTTTTTTGTCAAACTGCCGCCACGCGGCTCTAGTTAGAACCCAATGAGAAAAGCACTTGGAGCACCAGTCAACTATTGGGCAGAGCTTTGTAGTTGGTTGGTTTCCTGGAAAGTCGATGAGAAGCCAGGACGATGAGCCAACATGAAAGACAAAAAGGTGGGCCAAATACGACACACACCATCATGAACGAATGTTTTCTTCATGTTGCACTTCAGCGTGTCTGCTTTCAAACACACCGTAGGAAAAATGCGTTCGTTTGACCAGGCCCCCTCCACATGATCACCCGTTCCAAAAGTTTCAAGCAACTAAGAATGCACCACATTCTCACACAAACGTTTCAAAAGAAAACCAAGATTGAAGGATGGCAAACCGGCTGGGCAGTCCATCTCCATGTGGCTAATCACTCCAGCTGGTGACAACGTTCCCAAGGATCACATGAGATAGGCCGCACCGACAAAATCCACCAATCTGAACGTCTAGACGTCCTTCAGAGTCACCAAACCTTTGTTCAAAACCCCAAAGAAAGGTATCAGTTCCTCCCCAATTGCACCAAACATCCGAGAGTTTCACCAGAGTCCACCAATCGAATCCTGTGATTTGTCCATCTTTCCTTCACCAACACACCCCACCTCGTAGTTGTTTGATACCCAACGAGACTCAACCATGGCGAGTTGCCGAGGCGCACAGATTCTGCTGAGCAGAAACGGTGTCCAGGTGTGTGGAGGTGTTGAGGCTGTTCAATGCAATTTGTGAAAACGCAGCTGCCATTTGGGCCAATGAGCTTGCAAATAGCACAAAGCGCCTTCAGGCAAAAGAACGTCAAAGCACCGTCGAATTTTCGCCATTCAGAGCAAAACCGCTCACAAGCATCACTTCCTATGTCAAGGAGATCTGCAAAAGGTTTGCCTCCTGCTGTCGTGGTCCCACCTCGCCAGCGTGACATCCTGCGATCAAGAGCCGGCAAAAAGGATAAACTGCAGTCTGCTTGAATTTGGTTGTGTTTTTGTTGCCCAAAAAGATTCATCTTGCAGATGTTCGGTCTGCAAGTCACCAAAACAGACCACAGACGAACATGCAACATGAAGTCCAAACCAGAGGAGAATCCATTTCAAGGGCCTTTTTTGTTTTCAGAGACTCAAAAAAATTCATCTCACCTTTGGGTCGTGTCCGGTCCACTTCTGCTTGAGACTTTGCCAGCCCATCTGGCCATGTTTCATGACTGCGTTGGTTGTGCTGGCAGTGGTGCTGGTAATCTGGAAAAGTCTGGGTTTTCAGGCCTCGCCTTCTCTGACCTTTCCAACCTCGACCGTCAAAGAGGATTGGTGGATCCGACATCAACTGAGCTTTCAAGCTCGACGTCCACCGCAAACTGAACAAAGCACGCCAAGTTCAAATCAACCACGCACGCCAAAACCAAACAAGAAAAGAAAACGGATCCCTCAAACAAACATTGAAGTCACAGAGATTGACTTCTCTCAAGGAAAGGCAAGAATGCAGGCGCAAACCCAAAAAACCCGCAAGCCTCAGGCATTTTCTGAAAAATGTGAAAGTTCAGGCTCCAGACAGGACGACAGTACGCTGCCGGCAACACGATGATTTTCCAGCTGCACATTCATGCCTGTGAGACATCAATCCTGATGACAACCCACATCAGGCAATGGCGAGATTGCGGTTGTTGAGGACGAATGAGGATCAGCACCTGATTGTTTTTTTTGCACGAGTGGAGCCGCCATGTGTGGCCGACAATGGAGACTCCGGTGGTGAAACCCACTGGGGGCACAGAATCAAGCAAAAAGGCCTCTCAGTGCGAAAGTTCGGGAGTGCGACAAGTGTTGTGTGCAGGTGAGTGCACTTGTGCACTGTGTCTTGTGCACTCGGCAACATGGCTGTGCTCAGGCCATGCATTTTCTGTTCACGAAACAATGGCTTGGAGAGGTGGCGGCATTCCGACAGGCAAGCAATCACCAGCAGGCATGTGTGCAGTTTAGGAGGACGGTCATTGGAAAACCACTGCGGGAGACTGCCCTAGCGTGCTAAACGAAAGGGCATTTCATTGCCAGACCTTTCATGAGTGGTGTCTTGCACTGGAATTCATTTTGGGGTGGACCAGTTGTCAGCAAAGACCACAAGGGTGCACTGCATGTGCAATCATGTTCATCTATTGCTGCCCCCCTCCACTGGGAGGAGGGAGGCGGAGCGAAGCAAGGGCAACCTTGCGGCAGTGCATCTCAAACAGCTTTGCAAGGAGAGGTCACACGAGGGTGCAAGGTGGCCGCTCCAATCGTATCCGAGTTCGTTCATCGAGGTGGTCACTTGTGGTCACTTTGGTGAATCCTGCAATGCCCCGAACAGGGTGAAACAAAGAACTGCATGGAAAACACTGCACGCTACACTCCGCCAGCAGCGACAGAGAAAACTGGGGCAGGAGACTCTTGAAAATGCACTTGAATGTGCATGCATGGGTGAGATAGAGTCCTGTAAAGTTGAAAAGAACAAGCAAGTGAGATAGAGAGTGAAACAAATGTTGGGCAATTGGAGCAAAAAAGGTCTCGAGATTGGCTGTCTGAGATGCGGTACGAGAAATGCTTGCTGGCACGTCATGACTCTTCGTTGAGAGGCCTGCACAAGCAGGCTGTGTCAACGAGCATCACTGAGCTGCATTCTCCGCACTCATGCATGGAATGGCCCTCGCAGGAAACACTCGAAGAGACACGGACGAAACTAGTCGGGCAAAATGTGACAACACTGCGCTTGAGACAAGATGTTTTGTGGAAAGGTGCATCTGTCCTCATCTGCTGAGTTTAGTTTTCCAAACGAATCAGAAGAAGAAGAAAACCGAAGAATGGAATGTATAGAGAGAAATGCATGTGATCCAAGCGGTGAAAAGTGAGAGTCAGAGACTTGTGACCAGTTTTGCTGCGAAAATACTTTGCTGAAAGCCTCAATGTTGGGTTTTGGGCTCACGAGCGGGACTGAGAAAAGGACTGTTGCGATGTCCGTGTCTTTTCACATGTGGGACTGACGGCGTGCGACTCGAAAAACGGGGTGCAAGACCATGTAGACCCCCAAGCTTCTTGATGTAAAATACTCCTTGCGCCGCACTCATCAATTGATGCCCATTTTGGTTTCGATCACTGAAGAGCCACTGTGTTCGGCCGGTCTTCGCACGCATTCCACGTGGCTTGGGAGTGTGCATCCCTCCAGTACCCTGTTTCCAGTTCCCTGCATCCCAGTTTCCCATCTCCACTTCCCTGTCTCCTGTTGGAACGACAATTTTGGCCCAAAAAAACAACTCTAATGCGCCAAGCGAAAGGGCACATGGTTGTCAACAGTGCGACCTTTCAGTATGGGCCCGGGACCTTCAGCGAAGGGGGGCTTCGCCGAAGTCGAAGGGGGGGGACCCTTCGGCGAAGACCCCCGTTAAGGGGGGCTTGAGGGGGGGGGGCTTAACCCCCCTTCGCCGAAGGCTTAAGGTCTTTGGACGAAGGGGGCGCTTAAGGGGGGCTTAA